AACGCTAATTTAGTCAATAACGATAATGTAGCTAATAATCACGATCATCCAGTCGAGAATCCTCCTCCTCCTCGAACTCCCTCACCTGCCATTTCGGATGCCCTAACAGAACGAATCTTTCCCGACACCCCGCCTTATACCCCAGATTCCTCTATTCAATCAGTCCCTCCATCTCCTCGTCCCGTCTCTTCCGCAGATTCTTCATCAAGCTTGGAGCTCCTCTACGAACTTCCCTCTCCTCGTCCTCGCTATCATTTTCACCACGGAAATCCCCAGTCATTAGCCTCTCTTTTTTCTCAATTTCCAATATCTACTGAACCCCTTCCTCCGAACACTTATACCATAAATTTTGTAGATGCGGATCCCGATAACGTCAGAAATGCCATAACCGGTCAATCACCCGAAGTCCTTATCCCTGTTTACCTTCCCCACTCCCCCCATCCTTTCTTAGTCCCCGTAGCCTTCTTTTTAAACTTCTTCCCTCCTCCCTCATGCATCATAAAAGAAATATAACCAATATAACCTTAAACACACATACATACATACACACATGCGGTTAACAAAATTATTTAAGTAATATTATGATCGAAATTAAATATAGCCAGTTAGTCAGTGTTTTTCAGTTATAAATATGTAATTTTATCTCTGAACTCTGTGAATATTTCATCTTTAAACTTATAAATTGTTGTCACATGCTATAACACTGACTGACCAGAAGCGTATACTCAGATGATCCATTATTATAAAAAATATATACACATATATAATTTAATGGAATTGTATATTCTCTGTGATAAAAAATATTTATTAGTATCTCTCAAGCTAATTTTTCATACGCAGCATATATGCTGCGGCAGCAAAACGTCATCTGATTCATACTTTCAAGAACTGATTGGATAGCATCAGCTCACAAAAAAACTTTTAACCAATGTTAGCATTTTGCTGTCGCAGCATATGCTGCAGTTGCACATGAAAAGTCAGCTTCAGTTGAATAAAATATAAAGCAGAATATTACCTCTTGAAATAACGTAAGTGTCACAAGTTGGATTTGTCAGAAAATATGATGTGGTCTATGTTGCATTTGGTATAGCTGCAGGAAGAAGTCTAGTTTTCAAGTCATTAAGATACATGTTTTCATTAAAATGATCACTACAAATTCGATAATTTTTATAAAGTTCTTCAGTTGTTCTATCAATCATACGATTACAAGATTTGAGCCATAATTTAGACCTATGCAAAAATATAATTGTATAATTTCAATATCATTATATAAACTTTGTACTACATATATATTTATTTGCATATTTATAGAGAAAATTTTTACTTACATTTCTGGATCTTTTGGAAAACGAAAAAACTTTATTCCTGCATTTCGTCCAGATATGTTTTTACACATCACACAAGAAAATCCACCTTTACTCATTATTATAACTTCGAAATAGGATATTAAAAAAAACGCATTAAGAATAAAATCTTCGTTAACAATATTTCACTTATATAATATATAATATCACAGAATCATACAAACATATAACCTCCAAACACACTTATTATTATTCTGATACCGCCATGTTTTCGATAGTATAGTTGACGCATGCGCCTTGAAACATTACACGAAAAATTTCAGGGACTGTCGTAACTGTATATGGTTAAATTGTGTCTCGAGTGTTGCGTCACCTCGACTATATTTTTGAAAAGCGTTGCCGGCTTGG